TCTCTCTCTCTCTCTCTCTCTCTCTCTTTTGTACGCAGGTATGAATGAGAATGTATATCTTCACAATACAAGAGATTCATTCTCATTCATACTTTTTGTACATTTGTCAGCATGAATACGGTTCATTTCTCTATATGTATGTATATATGTATACATACATACATATATATATATATATATATATATATATATATATATATAATATATATATATATATATATATATATATATATTTGTGTGTGTGTGTGTGTGTGGTGTGTGTGTGTGTGTCTATAAATAAGTATGTATATGTATATATGTGTGTGTATGTTATATAATTACTTAGTGACTTTTCTAAGCAAACCGAGCCCATACACCCGACTAAAGACCTAACGAGAGAGCAATCGCTTGTGTTGATAAAATCGCGAAATAAATTCTTCGATTTCAGATGGCGACCCGATATGACGAGAGGCGGTCGTTACTTGTCTTTAACGACCATTACGAGTCCCTTCCCTGGTCGGTAGAGTGGGGCGGGGGGAGAAGGGGGGGGGGGGATGGTGGGGGGAGGGGAGGGGGGGGGGAATTTAAGGTTTGCCCATGTGCCAATTAGCCGGTTTTAATTTGTTTGTCTTTAATCAAAGTGATATGGTTTCAGCGACTTTCGAGGGGGGGGGTGGGGAGGGGGAAGGGGGGTGTAGTGGGGTGTCCAGGGTGATGTCAGACCGTGGGAATTATATAACTTATTTATGTGGTTGAGGTGTTTATTTATTTATTTATTTATTCCAAAAGGTTATATAACTTATTTATGTGGTTGAGGTGTTATATATTTATTTATTTATTCCAAAAGGTTATATAACTTATTTATGTGGTTTGAGTGTTATTTATTGATTTATTTATTCCAAAAGGTTATATAACTTATTTATGTGGCTGAGGTGTTTATTTATTCATTTATTTATATTCCAAAAGGTTATATAACTTATTTATGTGGTTGAGGTGTTTATTTATATATTTATTTATATTCCAAAAGGTTATATAACTTATTTATGTGGTTGAGGTGTTTATTTATTCATTTATTTATTCCAAAAGGTTATATAACTTATTTGTGTAGTTGAGGTGTTATTTATCTATTTATTTGTTTATTTATATTCCAAAAGGTTATATAACCTATCTATGTGGTTGAGGTGTTTATTTATTTATTCCAAAAGGTATATAACTTATTTATGTGGTTGAGGTGTTATTTATTTATTTATTTATTCCAAAAGGTTATATAACTTATTTATGTGGTTGTGTTATTTATGTTTTATTTATTCCAAAAGGTATGTGGTTATTTATTTATTATTCCTATCTTATTTGTGGTTGAGGTGTTATTTATTTATTTATTTATTCCAAAGGTTATATAACCTATTTATGTGGTTGAGGTGTTATTTATTTATTTATTTGTTTATTTATTTATTCCAAAGGGAAGGAGGAAGAAGTATATTTATATTCTTTTCACAAAGGGTGGAGGAAATCGGAGGAGGCATTGTCAAGAGGTCATTGTTAACGACGGCTGACCTTGAATAACCTTGGGCCGTTTTTTATGGAGGAGCTCGAAACTACTGCGTCAAATTTACACGCACGCACTTACTCACTCACACGCGCGCGCACACACACACACGCACACTCAAGACCCTTCACACACACACACACTCAAGACTCTTCTCACACATACACACACACACACACACACACTCAGGGCTCTTTATACACACACATACACACTAACACACACACACACGAACACTCAAGACCCTTTATACACACACAAACACACACACACACCCAGGACCCTTTATACATACATACACACAGACACATACACGTACACTCAAGACCCTTCACACACACACACACTCAAGACCCTTCACACACACACACACTCAAGACCCTTCACACACACACACACTCAAGACCCTTCACACATACACACACACACACACACACACAGGACCCTTTACACACACACACACACAGGACCCTTTACACACACACACACACACACACACACACACACACACACACACACACATCACACACACACACACACACACACACACACTCAAGACCCTTTACACACACATACACACAAACACACACACACACCCAGGGCACTTCTCATGGTACATATGGTCTCCCTTTGCTCCTCACATTGCACCTGACATATGTGTCATCTCGTCTGTCACTCCTACAAGACACAGATACGAAGCTCAGATTCAATAAATCTTTATAGACATTGACATATTAATGTACCTCTGAACACTTCATAAGTAATGGAGAGTTTAGACATGTTCTGGCGTTCCCTGGGGTGTGATACGCAAGACATGTATCAGTGGAAGCACACATTATGAATTTTATAAAAGATGACAGAAGGTGTGTGTCGACTCTCGCAATAACACTCATGGTGATCCATCTTAATGCTGGTACACAGGGTCGAACCCAGCTGGCATAAGAAGAAATTAAATAAACAGTGCTAAGGATTAAATGTATTAGGCTAGCACCGACCGAGCCAGCGAGCACAAGAAAATAAGTAAACAGAGGGGATAGGCAAACGGAGAAATGTGATCGCGAAGAATGTAGAAATTAGAAATGTTTCCCCGCCATTCAGCGTCTGAGGGATTCCGGTGTTCGGATGCCTAGGTGGTGGCTTCGGGTGGTTGGACGCGTTCGTTTTCCGGTGCTTTTGCAGTCTTTTTTTTTCTCTTTTTCTTTTTTCTTTCACTTTCTCTATTTATTTATCTCTCTCTCTCTCTCTCTCTCTCTCTCTCCTCTCTCTCTCTCTCTCTCTTCTCTCTCTCTCTCTCTCATCTCTCTTCTCTCTCTCTCTCTCTCTCTCTCTCTCTCTCTCTCTCTCTCTCTCTCTCTCTCTCTCTCTCTCTCTCTCTCTCTCTCTCTCTCTCTCTCTCTCTCTCGCTCCATCCCTCTCCCTCCCCTCTCTCCCCTCCTCTCTCCCTCTCCCTCTCCCTCCCCCTCTCCCTCTCCTCTCCCCTCTCTCTCCTTTACTCCGTCCATCCTTCCATCCATATCTATCTATCTAGCTGTCTATCTATCTTTCTGTCTACCCATGTATCTACATTTCCTTCTTCATTTTCTACTCTAAATCTTCTTTTCTTTCATTTCTAATTCTTCGAGGAGAAAAGGGATGTTCTTAGAAGCCACGTGGTTCAGCTTAAGGTTAGCTGCCATATAATTGTCATTGTTTGTCTTAGTCTACTTTTTCTTCTTCTTTTTCGTTTTTTTTTTTTTTTTTTTTTACATCTTCAAAGGTCAAAGTGCGGCATTTCCTCAGCAAGATATTTCCTTTTAATCAGATGGGAATTAATTTTAAAAAACTCTTTGTCTGCATCACTTTTTTTTTTTTTTCTTTCTTTCATGCTCTACTTCCCCTTTAACATATCTTCTTTCACATCCATTTATTACGAGATATTCTTATCAGTTCATTAAAGTATTTCCCTTTATTTTATCTTTTTATTTTTCTTCTTTTTATTTATCTCTCTCATTCTTTGTTCCTGCTCTCCACCCTTCTTCACACGCCTCTATGACGCGATGCCCTTATCAAACCTTTTAATTATTCCCCCTTTATTATCTTCTTTTCATTTTCTCTCTTTCCTTCTTTCTTCCTGCTCTCCACCCTCCTTCACAAGCCTCCACGACACCACGTCTTTATCAGTCCATTTAATTATCTTCCTTTTTATCTCGTTTATTCTCTCTTCCTGCTCTCCACCCTCCTTCACACGCCTCCACGACACCATGTCCTTATCAATCCATCTAATTATTTCCCCCTTTATCTCGTTTATTCTCTCTTCCTGCTCTCCACCTTCCTTCACAAGCCTCCACGACACCATGTCCTTATCAATCCATCTAATTTTTCCCCCTTTATCTCGTTTATTCTCTCTTCCTGTTCTCCTCCCTCCTTCACAAGCCTCCACGACACCATGTCCTTATCAATCCATCTAATTATCTTCCCCCTTTATCTCGTTTATTCTTTCTTCCTGCTCTCCACCCTCCTTCACAAGCCTCCACGACACCATGTCCTTATCAATCCATCTAATTATCTTCCCCCTTTATCTCGTTTATTCTTTCTTCCTGCTCTCCACCCTCCTTCACACGCCTCCACGACACCATGTCCTTATCAATCCATATACTTATTTCCCCCTTTATCTCGTGTATTCTCTCTTCCTGCTCTCCACCCTTCTTCACACGCCTCCACGACACCATGTCCTTATCAATCCATCTAATTATTTTCCTTTTTCCTCTCGTTTATTCTCTCTTCCTGCTCTCCACCCTCCTTCACAAGCCTCCACGACACCATGTCCTTATCAAACCATATAATTATTTTCCCCTTTATCTCGTTTATTCTCTCTTCCTGCTCTCCACCCTCCTTCACAAGCCTCCACGACACCATGTCCTTATCAAACCATATACTTATTCCCCCTTTACCTCGTTTATTCTCTCTTCCTGCTCTCCACCCTCCTTCACAAGCCTCCACGACACCATGTCCTTATCAAACCATATACTTATTTCCCTCTTTATCTTGTTTATTCTCTCTTCCTGCTCTCCACCCTCCTTCACAAGCCTCCACGACACCATGTCCTTATCAATCCATTTAATTATTCCCCCTTTATCTCGTTTATTCTCTCTTCCTGCTCTCCACCCTCCTTCACAAGCCTCCACGACACCATGTCCTTATCAAACCATATAATTATTTCCACCTTTATCTCGTTTATTCTCTCTTCCTGCTCTCCTCCCTCCTTCACACGCCTCCACGACACCATGTCCTTATCAATCCATATACTTATTTCCTCCTTTATCTCGTTTATTCTCTCTTCCTGCTCTCCACCCTCCTTCACACGCCTCCACGACACCATGTCTTTATCAATCCATATAATTATTTCCCCCTTTATCTCGTGTATTCTCTCTTCCTGCTCTCCACCCTCCTTCATTATCAATCCATCTAATTATCTTCCTTTTTCCTCCCTCCACAGTTCAAGGGATGCACCAAGGCGTTTTCGCGGCTGGAGAACCTCAAGATCCACCTCAGAAGCCATACAGGAGAAAGGCCCTATATTTGCGGCTATCCTCACTGCATGAAAGCCTTCTCGAACTCCTCAGATCGCGCCAAACACCAGCGGACCCACGTGGATGCTGTAAGTCGTCGGGTGTATATGATTTGTCTGAAAAAGCTTTTTTTTTTTTTTTTTTTTTTTTTTTTGGATTATGCTAATTACGGTTCGCGCTTCCGGTCTGCAGAGTTTGCAGAATGAGTTAATTTTTTGTTTTTTTTAAATTGTTGTATGAGTTAACTTTTTTTCTTTTTTTTTTTTAAGTTCACGCTTTGCCGCTTTTAATGGGTGACATGTGAGAGTTGTGTTCATTTTATTATGCGCTTTTGTGTCAGAGTGCTCGGCTCTGACACATTGTCTAGGGTAAACAAAATGTTGAAAGTTTTAGCTTTTAAAATATTTGGTGTTGAACATATCTGCTTTTAGACAATGTATTTCAATTTAGAGATTTATTGTACTCCAAGTCTCATTTTATGTTCATCTTCCTCTGTCATTCATATTTCTGATAGTAAAAAAAAATCACTCTTGGATTATCACAATGTCTTCCATCCAACTTCCATTAAGAATTGTTCAAAAGTAAATCCAGGAAGATCTAATCTCACACGCAAGAGGGCGAGAGACACGCATCACGGAGTCGGTAACTCGAGCAGTTATGACAAGATAACAAACAAGAAAAACCTGGGCGCATCCTGCTCCTCCTCCTCCGCTCTGCGCCCGAAACAACTCACGCCCATCTCACTGCTACCGCCACTGTCACTGTCACTGTCTCTGTCAATGTTATTGTCACTGCTACTGTCACTAGCATTGTCAACGTCATTGTCACTGCCACTGTCGTAGCGATTGCCACTATCACTCACTGTCAGTCATTGTCACTGCCACTGTCACCGCTACTGTCACTATCATTATCAAAGACATTGTCACTGCCACTGTCATTGCCATTGTCACTGTCATTGTCACTGCCACTGTCATTGCCATTGTCACTATCACTCACTCTCAATGTCATTGTCACTGCCACTGTCATTGCCATTGTCACTATCACTCACTCTCAGTGTCACTGTCACTACCGTTGTCACTGTCAGTCACTATCTCTGTCAATATCATTGTCATTGCCACCATCACTGCCACTGTCCCCGCTACTATCAGTAACATTACCACTGCCACAACCCTTGCCACTGTCACCGCTTCTGCCGCTTCCACTTCCACTGGCACTGGCACTGACCCGCCCCCTTCTCGCCCACTCGCAGAAGCCGTACGTGTGCTCCGTCCCCGGCTGCAAGAAGCGCTACACGGACCCTTCCTCCCTCAGAAAACACGTCAAGAACCACTCGGCGAAGGAGCAGGCGCTGGCGAAGAGAAAGGTGAGGGGGAGCTCTTGTTCGGGTGACGCGCGTGTGTGGGTGTGTGTGTGTGTGTGTGTTGTGTGTGTGTGTGTGGTGTGTGTGTGTGTGTGTGTGTGTGTGTGGTTGTGTGTGTGTGTGTGTGTGGTGTGTGTGTGTGTGTGTGTGTGGTGCGTGTTTGCTTGTTGGAGTGAGTGTGTGTGTGTGTGTGAGTGAATGTGTGTGTGTGTTGTTGGTTTGTGTGTGTGTGAGAGAGTGAGTGAGGGAGAGTGTGTGCTTGCTGGAGTGTATGAATTTGTCTGTGCTTTTGTGCGAGCGCTTGTATACCTCCATGTGTTCTGTACATCTATGTTTATGCGTAAAATAACAAAAAAAAATCATCCTATCCAAAATGTCACCTCGAAACCCTTCCCACGAGAGTTCACGCGTTCCCCTCCCTGAGTTCACGCGTTCCCTTACCTGAGTTCACGCGTTCCCTTACCTGAGTTCACGCGTTCCACCTCCCTCAGATGCGTTCCGGCGACGACGACTACCGGGGGTCCTCGCCAGGCTGCATCATGCCCGGGATGGCGCTGGACTCGGACGCGCCCCTCATGGAGCACGACGCCTTCCAGCACAGCGGTGAGTCTACAACCGCCCCCTTTCGCCCTGTCCGATTTTTTTACCATTTGGAATACTTTATAAGCTGTTCAGAGTCAAAATTCAGCAAATGGATAATGTAATGATATAAGATTTAGCTAATTGATGTTAGGATAAATGATTTAAAAATGTAGGGTAATAATACTTTATTGGCTGTTCAGAGTCAAAATTCAGCAAATGGATAATAATATAAGATAATAATAAGATAATGTAGATTTAGCTAATTGATGTTAGGATAAATTTTAAAAATGTAGGGTAATAAAAAGGAATATTTAGCTAATGGATCTGGAGCCGTGTGTGCTCTGAGATCCCAAGCGTCGAGGCGGCCTCACAGCGCCGAGTGTTGACCAAGGTTGTGACTCCTTCGTGTTCCTCCCAGACAGTGTCGTCCCCGAGTGCGGGTCCCAAGGATGTGGTGCGCTTCAGTCTCCGGTGCCACGTGCTCTCCCGCAGGCCCTCGGGGGAGAGCTCCCAGATGGCACTCGGATTGCCGGAGACTTTAGTGCCCGAGTTCTCCCAGGAGGACCTCGACGCGTGGGTCAGCATCTTCTGAGCTACCCGCAGCAGCAGCAGCAGGCGGAGATGGTGGGCGGCGACATGGTCATGTACGGACGAGAGCCTCAGCTTCCGCAGCAGATGCAGGGCAAGATCGTGGTGGCCGGGGAGGCGCCGCAGATGATGTACGGGCAGCACTCGCCGCCGCCGACGCAGCAGCAGCAGATGCTCCAGGGGACCGAGGGCTCGCAGCACGTGTACGACTCCCCCCCGCCCCCCTACTGCCAGGCCTACCCCGTCTCCCAGGGCGCCACCGCCTCCCCCAGCCTCCCCCACTATTCCATGATCACGTCCCCCGCCGCCCTTCCCTCCTACCAGCCGCCCATTTACACGCACCAGCAGCCTGCGTTGCATCTCAATCAACAGCTCTCTCCGTATTCGACGCAACAGGGGACTTGAACCACGAGTCCCGCCTCGGTGTCGATGCTCTGCCGGCGGGGTAACTCTGAAACAGTTATCTTGCTGCCCTCAGAACCGGGAGAAACGAGGCCAAGGGTCGAATCCGCTTACCCATGACATTCGCGACTGCTCTTCGGCCCAATAAACTCTGCCAGCGGAAGGGAAAAGCGTCTGGATGTTTTGTTTACTGGCGCGCCTCGCACACGTGATGCCTTAGACCTAGACCATCGATTTGGGGGGGTAAATTATTACCTTTTTGTACACAAATGACGTGAAATGACAGTTGGGTTACGCTACTTAAAGTAACACAGTATTTTTCTTCTTTTTTTGTCTCTTTCCCATTGATATTTTAGTCGCCAGACACTCAAAACACTCGAAGTAAAACTCGTAACAGCGAGTCCTTTGCCTTGGGTCTTGTCTAAGGAACGTGGTGCTACTCTGATGTGTTTTTTTTTTTTTTTTTTATTGTTTATTCAATTCTCAACGACGGCAACTTGTGGTTGTAAATGCAGCGTTTGTGAGATAATCATTATCGAATTATTAGCACATGCAGTGACTTCGGTTGGGTCTTCAGCCAAAGAAATTTCAAGTGGTTTTCTAAATCCCGAAATAAATATTAGCTGATTTGAATTAGTATGTGTGTGCGTATGTGTGTGTGACGTAAATAAATAATGTGCCCAACAAATAACTAAAATGGAGCAGCAGGATTTATATACAAGCCACTTGAAGTCAATCTGAAGAGTAGATAATTGGCGGCTCTATTCTCTGCTGACTTCCTGACGCGCAAATAGAAATATTGGTCGCCTTTTTGTCATAATTACAAAACGACAAAAATAAATGCAAGGTTTCTGTACTTAAGTAAGAGAAAAAAAAATGTCTTCCACAGCGGTGCTATGTGCAATAGTTTAGAATATTTCCTATTTTAGACGAAAATCTATTCATTTTCAGGTCGCTTATCCAGCCAAAACTTGCCTTTTATGTCTTTTTTTTTATATAAATCAGCGTTATAGGAATCGTGACAGACCACTCTCAAAGTAGACAGCTTTTCTTGTCACAAAGGTTTGGTTTTGGGCCCAATTTGGGAACATGCAACGACACAGGGAAGGGAAGTGTGGCTTAGCGAAGGCAAACCACGTTTGTTGTGAATGCTGAAGAGTATGGTGGACATACAACTGACATTAACACGTCACATACTTTTTTCTCGATATTTTTTTTGTGTGTGTGACGGGAAGGATATACACAGGTGCAATATTGTGCAGTTTTCCCCTTTTAATAAACTACGATTTGCCTTTGCTAAGACACTTTCCCCTCTTGTGCTCTCAGATAGTCAATGTTTAGTATTATTCTTCTAATGTGTACATAGAGTACAAATGTTCTTTTTTGTGTAAACATCATGTATATGTTTAGTGTTTAAGTATTATGATTACAAGATTATTTATTATTTATATAATGTGCCGTGATACATTAAGGGGTCAGAAGTGTAAAGGTTGTTGTATTTATGTTCTGTGAAAGTCTTTGTTGTCTTGAAACTCACAGAAAACAATAAGAAATATATAAATGGAACCAATAAGCTCTCACACGCTTAAAGAATGTCTATCATTACGTATCTATTTACGTACTTTTCCGGCTTTATCATCGCTATCCCTTCGTCTCCATATTTTTCTTGATTTTTCCCGCCTTTTCTTCTCTTCGTCATACAAGGTTCCAAAAAACTCATCAGTGCTTTCATTAGGATTAGAATTTTTTGTTCAACTCATTCATTACGTGGCCAGTGACTTTTAGATTATTTTTGTAAATGTGGTGATGTTTGTTGTAATAGATAGGCTTTTTGTGATAATGAATTAAACAGTTGGATTAATACGCACAGTGTTTTATTGACAAAAATCTCTCTTTGAGAAATTATCTTAATTTAGACACAAATTATGTCCAGTGAAGCTGAAATTGATATTAATTAGGGATATAATTTTATGGTAAGGATTATATTCAAAATAT